AGAACACATGAGCGGGGATAGGGTCAGAGGGCAAAGCAGACTCCCTGCCGAGCAGGGAGCCCGATGCGGGACTCGATCCAGGGACTTCAGGATCATGACCTGAGCCGAAGGCAGTCGCTTAACCAACTGAGCCACCCAGGCGCCCCTATTAAATTAATTATTGACAGATTTTGTTCAGTTGTGCTTTTTTTTAATTTTGGAAGAAAGTGGTTTTTTTAGAGTCCTATTTGATCTCTGTTATAATGACATTATGCTTTTTTTTTCTTTAAAACAGTGTTCCATTTGTAACTTAAAAATATTTTGCTGAATCAGCTCAAATATTTTGTGAAACAAGGACCAAAGTATAGATAAACAAATTGCTGTATACTCAATGCACTCTATGTATCAGACTTCTATTGGGTGTTGCATATATTTATGAATTTAAAAATCATGTTTCAGTCCCTGGGAATTTGATATTAATTGCAATTTAAATGGACAGGTTCGGCCATGATAAAAAATTTTGTGGTGAAATCAGCATTTATGTAAAGTAAGTCTGTAGGTTACAGCTAGGAAATTTATTTGTTTTGTTTCTTTTAGATGGAGAGTATTTTACTAAAACATACTCTTTAGGCTCCTTCTTTTATTGGCCTCCCTATTCTTTTACTAAATATAAAATAAAAATGTGATTTCTCCAGTTGGGAAGATTTGGAATTTTGTGGAGTACTTCCAAAGTAGCTATTGAGGCATGTTGCATCCATCCACTTGGACACCTGCTTAGACTTGTCATCAGTCCAGAAGGACACCTGTGTCCCATTAAAAATGAGCATTGTCATTATCTGCTATTCTGTTGAATTGCTTATTAGCTGAGAGGATGCTGTTAGTTGTGGTAATAAGGATTCATTGAGGGCTAAAAAGTGAGAATGGAATTATACATTGGATTGGATTTTGAGTTTCTTTTTTAAAAATTTATTTTACTGTCATCTGTTTCTTTCACATAAATTTTATAGGACCTATATTAGTTTTCTGTTAACAAATTACCACAAACTTTGTGGTTTAAAACATTAGAAGTTTGTTATCTTGCAGTTCTGTAAGTCAAGTCTGTCATGGATCTCACTGGGCTAAAATCAAGGTGTCAGCAGGGCTTCCTTCCTCTCTAGAAGCTCTAAGGGAAAATCTGTTTCTTCTCCATTCCCACTTTTGAGAGGCTACTGACATTCCTGGGCTTGTGGCCACCTTCCTCCATCTTCAAAGCCAGGAATGGCAGATTCCCTTTCATGCTCGAATTTCTTCTGTCTCTTTCCATCTCTTTCAAATGTAGGTGGGAAAGGGGAAAGTTTCTCTGCTTTCAAGGACTTGTGTGATTAGATTGGCCCCTGGATTATCCAGATTATCTCCCCATCTCAAAGTCTTTAGCCCTAAGCACATCTGCAAAGCCTTTTTTGCCATGTAGATATAACATTGTTGGAAAGCCATTATTCTGCCTACAACAGAACTCAAACCTTTTTCTAGAAATATTACTTAACTAATTTAAAACTCTATGGTTAAAAGATTATAGGTGTGATTTGAAATAGTGTTGAGAAAATATATGCTATTATCTCTAGCTCTTTTTTTTTTTTCCCTGTCTTCTTAGGTTCAAACTCTTATCTGCTCTCTTAACTTACCTGTTGAACATATTTTCCTAGATATTTTGTAAACACCTTGTTAGCTTTTGTTATATACCAAACCACTCAAGAATTCTTTATCATTGCCCACACATCTGTGGGTCAGCTGATCTAAGCTAGGTGTGGATGGGTGTCTCTTAGGACTTTGGCTGGGCTTGCTGCACATCTGTGAGTCTGCACGTCAGTTGTGAATTGTCCAATCTAGCCTCTAGCCTGGGGCTCTGTGGGGGCAACTCTGTTTCACAGTCTCTTATTCTCCTGCCTTTGGGGTGGCACAAGCATGTTCTTATGGAAATGGCAGAAATACAAGCATGGAAGTGGGAACACATGAAGCTTCTTATTGGCCTAGGCTTAGAGCAGAGAACTGTCACTTTTGCTTTATTATATTGGCCAAACTAGTCACATGACCAATCCAAGTGCTGGGAACTATGCTCTACCCCTTTAAATGGGAGGAACTGCAAAGTCACCAGCAAAGTGATTTGAATGAAGAGAGGGGATAAAGAATTAGGGTCAGTGATGCAACTAACCCCACACTCAAACTCTGTATTGCCCCAAACTGAACTCATCTCACAAGAAACCTGTTTTGCCTTTATTTCTGGTCTTAATGATACTATGCTATGTCTGGTCACCCAAGCCAGAAACGTAGGAAGTATTGTATAAAAATAGTCTTCTTTTTTCATCTTTATTTTTCTGCAGTATTTACTTTATAAATATCTAATCTCTCATCTTCTCCAGCCTCTTACCATCACTGCTGTCATATCTCCTTTAGAAGAAAGGGAGGGGCTAGTCTTTATATTGTCTCCAATCCGACTTCCTTCAAATCTATCTCTCATATTGTAGCCGGAATATTCTACTGGAAATACAGACGTCACTCCTGTTTTGTAGCTTCTCATTGCCTCTAGCGAAGGCCCTCTATGATCTAGATTCTCCAGCCCCATCTTCAGATGTTTCTTGCCTTCTGTTTTGCCCTGTAGTTCAGGAGTCAGCAAACTATGTCTAGTGGGCCAAAAAATCTGTTCTGCCATCTATTTTTGTATGGTTCGTGAACATAGTTCTTACATTTTTAAGTGATTAGATAAAAAAAGAAAAAACAGTATTTTGTGACACATGAAAATTATGAAATTTAGGCCATTTGTTTGTAAATAACGTTTTATTGGAACATGGCTACACTCATTCATTTTTCAGTGTCTATAGCTGCTTTCACATTACAGTGGCATAATTGAAATACTGAGGTAAGAGACTATAAAATATTTCCTGTCTGGCCCTTAGAGAAAAATTTTGTCCCCCTCTGCTCTCGTCAGAATTTATAATAGCTCTCCTTGTGTACTTGTATTCTGTTTGATGACTCAGTAATTTTATTATGTTGTTTCTTTGCCTGGCTAACTCTACTTTTTAAGATAATAGCTTTATTGAGATATAATTTACATACCATTCAATTCACCCATTTAAAGTGTACAGTTCAGTGGTTTTTAATGTATTCACACTTTTGCCACCCTCACAGTGTTATTTTTAGAACATTTTTGTTAACTTGCGCTAAAACCTCATGCCTATTGGCAGTTAGGCCCATTTTTCTAACCTCCTCTCCCAGCCTTGGACAATCACTAAATCTACTTTCAGTTTCTGTGGATTTGCCCATTCTTGATGTTTCATACAAATGGAACCATAAAATATGTGGTCTTTTGTGACTGGCTTCTTTCATTTGCGTAATGTTTTTAAAGTTTATACTTATTGTAGCTTGTATCAGTACTTCATTCCTTTTCACTGCTGATTAATATTTTATTGTGTGGATATATCACATTTTGTATCCATTCATCTGGGTTATTGAACATTTGGGTTGTTTTTACTTTTTGACTGTTAGGAGTAATGCTGCAATGAACATTTGTGTACATGTTTTCATGTAGTCATATGTTTTCATCTCTCTTGGGTATATACTTCAGCTAATTCTTCCTTATCCTTCAAGAATTGATGTTAGGGTCATCTTCTCTAGAACACTTCCCTAGCTTCCTAGACTGGATTAAATGTCTTCCCTGCGGCTCCGAGAACACTGTGTCAAAGTACTTACCCATTGTATTGAAATTATCTGTTTGCATGTCTGTATCCTCTATTCCTCTAAACTTTTGGAGAGCAGCATCAATGCCTTATCCAACTTTGCATCAACTGCAAACAGTACAAAAGTTTACTTAATATTTGTTCAGCTAGAAACATTGTAAAGCAGTCTATGCTTTTGAATTAAAATAAACTTAAAAAATAAAAATAAAATAAACTTTATCTTTTGTTATTTTTTGTGTTTTATGTACATTGGCTTTTTATTTTTTTAAAGATTTTATTTATTTATTTGACAGAGACAGACTGAGATAGTGACAGAAATAGCCAGAGAGAGCTTGAGCGGGGAGGAGAGGGAGAAGCAGGCTCCCAGCTAAGCAGGGAGCCTGATGTAGGGCCTGATCCCAGGACCCTGAGGTCATGACCTGAGCCGAAGGCAGATGCTTAACTGACTGAGCCACCCAGGCGCCCCTACATTGGTTTAAAAAAAAAAAAAAGTTTCTTTTTTTTTTTTTTTAAAGATTTTATTTATTTATTTGAGAGAGAGAGAGAATGAGAGAGAGAGAACACATGACAGGGGATAGGGTCAGAGGACGAAGCAGACTCCCTGCCGAGCAGGGAGCCCGATGCGGGACTCGATCCAGGGACTCCAGGATCATGACCGGAGCCGAAGGCAGTTGCTTAACCAACTGAGCCACCCAGGCGCCCCCCCAAAAAAAGTTTCTTAGAATATGTACTGAGATAACTGATCTTGAATTTGTCTTTTTTTAAGGCCTACAAAGAAAACAAAAAAAGGTGTGAAAGACAAAGCATCAGATGAGAAAAAAGATGAGATAGAAAAAATAAAGTCATACTCCTTTATGGAAGGCGAACCTGAGGATGATGTCTACTTAAAGCGCTTATATCCAAGACAGATATATGAGGTGGAGAAAGCTATTCAGTTACTTAAGAAATTTCAAACTCTGGACTTTACTAATCCAAAGCAAGGTGTTTATCTTGATTTGACACTGGATATGGCACTGGGGAAAAAGGTATGTAGACTCAACTAAAATAAATTTATTTGTGAACAGGAGCTGTATGAATTGCTGTTTCCTAATTTTTAAAGTTCCTTTTTTCTTATAATAATTTTTGGGAAGTCTTATGTTCTTTCTATACTATGGGATGAAAAATTTTGTTTTTATTTTCCAAATATAAAAATATGTTGAACATACTCTGCAGAGTCGATGAACATTTATCTCCTAGTTACCTGAAAATCACTGGTATAAATTTCATAAAGTAGTGTTAAAATTAATTGAGGTATTACTGTAACTTTGAAAAATGACTTAAGCTGCCTGGGTGTCATATTCCTTTTCTGTAAATGAGGGTTTGGGATTAGAGGTATGTTCCTTAGAGTCCTGCGTTGAGACTAAGTTTGCATCAGTGGGGTGCCAAGCCCCTCACTCTTGCTTCAACCAAAACTTTTCTGCTTTATTTGTTTATATGCAGTTCCTTGGATGACTTTTGTTTATAAAACTCTAAAAGTAGTAAAAATACTGAATTAGAGTTGAGGTCCATTACAACTCTAAATCTCATTTAAGAAATCTAATTTTCTTGGAAATGGTATTTTAATTTTTATTCTGAGGATGTCTTTTGGTCAAACTAGAAGGTACAAATTTTTGAATACAGTGTAACAACTTCAACAACAACAGTGGTTGAACACTTAGGAGGAGGCTGTATAGTGTAGCGCTTAAGAGCATGGGCCCTGGAGTCAAACTACAGCACAGGCCAGAATCCTGGTGTCACCACTTACTTGCTTTTTGACTTTGGGTTTCTGGTTTAACCTTTTCAGATCTATTTTTTCCGACCTCTTTATAAAGGGAGATAAAATGCTTAGTTTACACAGTTTTTAAGAGGATTAAATGAGGCAGTGCATGTAAAGGACTTGCTAAGTGTTTAATAATCACAATCAACATTTACAGGAAACTTTCTGTGTACCAGCCACAATGCTAAGTGCTTTGCATGCATTTTCTCATTTAATCCTATAATAACCTCAAAAGAGGAAGCTGAGACAGAGAAGCTGAAGTAACTTGTTTATGGTCACAGAATAAGAGGTGAAGTTAGGATTTGAATCAAGGTCTATCTTATTTCATAGTTCTTATTTCTTAGAAACAGTTTATACCAGCCATGCTGTAATTTTATTTTATAGCAGTTTTACTGTTAGTTCTTTTATTTTAAAAATGTTGTAGTATCCAAGATGACCACTTTCTCAGTCAGCCATTAATGTACTGTTGACCCTTGAATAACATAGTTTTGAACTGTGAGGATCCACTTACATGCAGAGTTTTTTTTTTTTTATAAAGGCAGTATACTACTGTAAATGTATTTTCTCTTCCTTATTTTCTTAATATTTTCTTATCTCTAGCTTTCTTTGTTATAAGAATACAGTATCTAATACATACAGCATACCAAATATGTGTTGGTTGACTGTTTATGTTATCGATAAGGCTTTTGGTCAATAGTAGGCTATTAGTAGTTAAGTTTTGGGGGAGTCAGAAGTTACATGCAGCTTTTCAACTGTGTGGGGGTAGTGTCCCAACACCCGAGTTCTTTAGAGGTCAACTGTGATTCATAATGAAGAGTTGTAGGACCACAAGCTTCATTTCAGAAATGAAAGCCACTTGTAGACTATTAACATTGAAAGGGTACTGTTGTTTTCCTAAGACATTTTTTGTTTTCGATAGAGTGCTTATACAACAAGCCAGTGTTTCCCCAGTATTGTGATTACTTGCCATTGAAATATTTACTGAAACTAGTTGTGACATGTTAATGGCAAAGGAATGCCAGTCAGTAAAATTGAGTTGCATGTCTGATGTCAAGTATGCTTAAGAGTTCGTTCTTTCTTGTCTGAAAAGAAATCCTCCGGAAGTTATCTCTACTCAAAGTTTTGCTAAAAATATAACCTTTCAATCAGTCTGAATTAGGGAACAACCTTTTTTCCCTTTCTTCTAGACTTTAAAACTGCACCAAAACTATGGGCCTAGATTTTCCATGTGAAGTCTAAGTGATATGAGCCACAGGGCTAGACAGGTCCTTGGCTAGAAAACAACAAAGAAGTTCTGAGACCCTGTAGAATCTCCATTCATATTTGGGTGCCTTAATGCATGCCATTATATATTTTGGATTTTCCAACCGACTTCCCAGAAATCTTTGCAAGTGGTGGGCAGTCCATGTTGTTTCAAAATAGACCCACTCAGAAGAGCCTTTCAGACTTGGCATTCTGTCTTAGATTTAGCGTTAATAGTGACCTACTGAGCAGATTAGCTGGATATTTTCTGTCGTCTATTATGCATAGCTGTGCTCATGTCCTCCTTGATGGTGTTAAAAAACTACATGTTCTTTTGAATTTAATTCAAGTTAGTAAACATTTATTGATATCCATCATGTAGAAAGCATTATACTAGGTTCTGGGGAAGATATGGATATGCAAACACATCACTTAATACATGAGAGATTGTGATGAATGATGTAGAGGTAGAAGCCAAGTGCTGTGGCAGTATGAAGGTGGGGAGAGAGATGCAGATTTTCATTATGATTTCTTAGAAAAGAAATAGAGTCTCTTATGCTTTAAATTGTAATCAGTGAATAGTTCTAGATTAATTAGAGGACGTGGTAGAATTAAAATGTTGAAAACAAAACATCAGTTTTGTTTTTTTATAGATGTGAGATATATAGAAAAGATGAATGAATTTTTCATTATTATTTTCCATTGTTGTGTATCTAGAAAAAAGTGGAGCCATTTGCCAGTGTTCTTCGTTTTCCATACCCATTCATTTCAGAAATCAATAAAGTTGCTGTATTTACAGGGGTGAGTAACCTTTGTCAACCTTTCATATCATTTAATTTTTTGTACATATCACATTAATCAGTGCTTAGATTAACTGAATGAGTAGACTATTCACATAGTCTTATTTTCCCCATTTGAAGCAGTTAGATGACTTATTTGAGGTTATGTCATTTGAGAAAGAGCTAAACTAGAAAATTAATTTCATCATTATTAATCTACTACATTATGTTTCTCACAAGAAACTGAAGAGAAATAGAGAATTTGTCCTACTACCTCCTGCTTCTTACTCAGAGTACTCTCTTCAAATAAAAACAATAAAATTATTATTATTTTTTAAAGATTTTTATTTATTTATTTGACAGAGAGAGAGAGAGGAAGAGCACGTGTGCGCACATGCAAGCACACAAGCACCCAAGCAGGGGGAGCGGAGGCAGAGGGAGAAGCAGACTCCCTGCTGAGAGGGAACCTGATGTGGGGCTCGATCCCAGGACCCTGAGATCATGACCTAAGTTGAAGGCAGATGCTTAACCGACTTTGCCACCCAGGTGCCCAGTAAAATTGTTTTAAAGCAATGGGCCCACTTAGTGCTGTGAAGACACAGAAACCACACTTAAAAATATCTGGTCTGGAAAACCAGGAAAGTTGAGGTTGTAACAAATAGAATCATATGGCTCTTTGTCAGTCTTTTTGTATTATAAACATTTGAAATGTATTTATGAATTTGTTTTGTAGAGTGTTTTGATTTTTCTGTATCTACTTCACTTTCAAGGAAGAGATTCTTTACTGTTTTTTTTCTAGAAAAGTGGAGAATATAGCTGTTGGAATGCTACAAAACTTGAGTGACTTAAGGGAGTGATATATTTTCACAGTAAAATGAAATGGCATAAAGGGAACATAGAAGATAACTAATACTGTATATATATATATTTAAAGATTTTATTTATTTATTTGACAGACACAGCGAGAGAGAGAGAGAGAGAGAGCACAAGCAGGGGAAGTGGGAGAGTGAGAAGCAGGTTCCCTGCTGAGCAGGGAGCCTTATATGGGGCTGGATCCCAGGACCCTGGGACCATGACCTGAGCCGAAGGCAGACGCTTAATGACTGAGCCACCCAGGCGCCCCTACTGTATATTTTTCTTTTGAATTTTCAAACAGCTGGCTAAATTTTTTTTTTTTAGTTTTTAATTCTAGTTAGTTAACATACAGTGTTACATTAGTTTCAGGTGTACAATATAGTTTTGATTCTAGCATTCCTTAAGTAACTTTTCCTCTTTGGTTTGATAAGATGTCTCCATTTAAGTTAGCAAAACTAAATATATCTTAATCTTTTACTTTTGGAAGATGATGTATTGAAGGCATTGAATTTGATTGAGCCACTTCTTAGGTTCCTAATATGTCATTTCAATGTATTTCCTCATGTGTTAGTCAAGAAACACCTTAATCAACTACAAAGTAAACTTGTTCGGTATACAGTATCTCTGATACATCTGATTGAGAAATGATGCATTTTCAGTTAAAAGTAAAAACCACAATTTTTATTTTGAACTGTGATATTATTTCTTACAAAATACTTGAAATCAGACTGAATTTGTTTAAAGATTGATATTCAAACTACTGTATTTTTATAGAATGCATCAGAGATTAAAATAGCAGAAGAAAATGGAGCTGCATTTGCAGGAGGAATTAATCTAATTCAGAAGGTACAGTGTTGTTTTCATATTCATTAGTTATAGAAATTGTTCTGTTATCTTTGCCATGCATTGATTTATTTCATGTGAAACATAACCACTATGCCTATATCTTTTGACAAATGGTTAGTAAAGCTTTGTAGAATAGGGAAAAATTTTCCTACTCTTTTGAGTCTCAAAATCAAGCTAAGAAAAAACTATCCAGACAGTCTGATATTAATTATGCTTGATTTACATCATGATTTTTTAACCCCTTGCTTCCTGTATGTTTGTGAGAGTTTTTGTGGGTAGACTGGAAAGAGCAATATGACTCTTTGTGGTTTTGAATGCAAGATTTAAAATGAAATTTAAAAGGTAGTGATATCATGAATATCACTGTTCATGTTTTGAAGATCAAATATTTGTTCTGCCTTCTTGGAGTGAAAAGTGTGATTAACTTCACAGATCACAAAGGATAATATCTGACCTCTGTAGTAATACAATACTTCTGATTACTCTTAACTTTTACTCCAACCACTTCGGAGTGGCACAGGCTCAGCATGAGGCACCAAGTGGTTATGTAGCCTGTGTTAAGAAAGTAGCAAAGAATTTGTGGAGCTGGTTTGCAATCAGAACAATGTTGTTTTGTTTTGTTTTGTTTTGTTTTTTAAGAGGGAAGAAGAGGCATGTGTGTTGAATTTTGGGCGTTGTTTCTGAAAATACAAATTTCTAAAGTGTTCTAAATTTGTTTATAGAATGCCTTTTTGTTTTTATTTTTTATTTATTTTTTTTTTTAA